GCTGCTGGCACAGGGGGCTGCTGCCATGCCCAGGAGGTGCCAGGAGCAGGGCACAGGTGTGGGCAGAAGCAGGGCAGCCCACAGGGGTCACACACAAGGAGTGGGTCAGGGGTAACCCGAGTTACCAGTGAGCAGAGCCAAAGCCATCCTTGCTGCCTCCTCAACATCACTGTCTGTGGATTGTAAGAACAAACTCTGAGCCCTAAATCCAGCTGACTCTTTTGTCAAGTTCTGCTTTGCTCACTCACTGAGCAGCAGATTCTTGGCCTAATCTGACAATCAGATTTGACACAACTGGTTTCCAATAAATAACAGCATTTCTCATCTATGCAATAACTCTAATCAACAACTCTGCAGGTTTTTCAGTCTGCCCTGACAAACTGGGAGAGCAAAAAAGCTTGGAGCAAGGTCCTTCAGCATGAACAGACTGACAGACCTGGCTGGCTGCAGCCCCACCACCTGCAGATGATCATCCTGGTGAGAGGGTGTGCTTTGGCAAGAGGAACCAGAGGCATCAATGATGACAATAATTACCTGGAAACAGAAACATCTCCTGTCAGCGGGGAAGAGGCTTGCATTATTCATTGGATTAGACTTCATTTTGCTCACTTTGGGGTCATTTTGATCTTCAATGATTTTAAACCAGACAGAAGCAGCTCCTGGATCATGTGACAGTATTGGTTTAAAGAGAACTGGGTGATGTTCCTCTCCCACATCTTGCCCATTTGACAGCACAGCTGTGGGTGTCACTGTGCAAAGGCTGCTCCTTTTTGTGAGTCAAATTTCTGCCACACAATGAATTTCTGAGTCAGTGGTAGGCACATCAGTATGGGATCCTTTAGCTCAGTCACACATGCACAGTGACAGGCCCCAGCTGGCTGCAGCAATCCCAAATGGATCCTCTTGTACAGCAGACACCGAGATTATCCCAGGGAAGGGTGCCCAAAGGACAGGCCTTGGGAATGTCACCTGACATTTCTCCTTCCTCCTGCAGCTCCCCAGCCAAGAGGATTCATCTGTTTATCCCAGGACACTCTGCAGCCTGCTTCACAAACATCTCTGCCCATCAGCAAGGCACACCTGGCCAGCTCCTGCCCAGAGCAAGGGGGGCCCCAGCATGCCCAGGGTCCTGGAGCGAGCAGAGCCTGCAGGAGCATCCTTCATCCATTCTTGGCTTTCAGAGCTCCAGCACCAGCAAGGTCTCACCTTTTCCTCTGCACATCTGCAGCTGCCTGGGCTGCTCCCTGTGTGCAGCTGGGAAGGGCCAGTCCAAGGAAAGGTTCCACCAACTCAGACCAACCATCCTGTCAGCCCTTCTCAGAGAGAGAGGGACATGGCTCCAGGGTGCTGGGGCAATGGCCATGTGAGATGGGGCAGTTTTGTGCCAGGCCCTGCCAGGCCGTGTCCCTGAGGTCCCAGCTGCCCCCAGGCACACACATCCCGCTGTGTCACAGCACTGCTGGCAGCAGCTCTGGCCTTGTCCTCCCCACCCCGCTGTGCTGCTCTCCAGCAGTGCCAGCAGCCCCAGGCAGGCTGTCACCCCCAGGCTGTCACCCCCAGGGCTGGCAGAGCTGTGGGGCTGCAGGAGCACAGTGCTGGCTTGTGGCTTATGGTGGAGAGGAGCACGGTGCTGCCATGGCCCAGGAATGGGGCCAGGCTGTGGAGGGCTGAGCCAGCCCGCTGCTGTCACTGCCCCAGCCCCAACACCACTGCCACAGAACAGATGTTCGAGTGCACACTTTCAGTACATCACATTATAAAGGCTGAAAACGGGAAAACAAAGACCCAAGCAGAGGCTGTTCACCCTCTTCAAAAATGAGGGAGTTTGGAGATGAGGTTTTACTTTAAGATCATTAAAGCAATAGTGAGGGGGAGCCCACAAAATGGTTCTGGTCAGAAATCCAGCCATAGCCAGTAGAGAATTTAAGAAATGTCTTTGCTATAGGAGAAACCGAAGGGAAGGGAAATGCATGAGCAGCCCCCAGCTCTCAGTCCCTCCCCTCCTGCGAGCAGGAGCCTGGCAGTGCCCCATGCCCACCCCACAGTGTGTGACAGACCTGCCCAGGGGTGGCTCTGCTGGCCCATCCCAGCCTGTCTCTGAGCCCTTCTCAGCCCATTTGGGGCTGGCAGGAGCCTGGCAGTGCCCCATGCCCACCCCACAGTGTGTCACAGACCTGCCCAGGGGCGGCCCTGCTGGCCCATCCCAGCCTGTCTCCAAGCCCTTCTCAGCCCATTTGGGGCTGGCAGGAGCCTGGCAGTGCCCCCGTTGTGCCCATGCCCCAGGCTCTCTCAGCAAACAGCTCAGGGCTGGCAGTGCCAGGCTCACCCTGCAGGGCTGGTTTGGGAAAGCCTCTCCCAAGGGGAGCTCTCTCCCCTGGGACAAAGGGCCCTGCAATGTTGGGGGTGCATTTCTCCCCAGCACACACTGTACCCGTGTGAGAGCTGCTCAGCTCACACCCCCTCCGCTCCATCTCAGCCACTTTCAGATGGATTTGAACATGAAAAATGCTCTTTATCCTTGTGCCAACCACAGGCATTTTCCTTCCCAGTGCTATTTGGAGCATACAATGTGTTTGGTGTATTGAAACACCATTCCTCCCTGAATTCTTGCTCCTTTGCAACTAATCATCCATTTCCAGCTGAGAATATTTCCTCCAACAGGCCTTTCACAGGAGTTGCTGAGCAGCCCTGCAAAGACCACCTCTGCCTGTGCCTCCCCAGTTGTGTTAGACACCTCCAGGTTCAGGCCCATTAAGCTGCTCACAGCAGCCTGATGATTAATGCTTACATAGACACAGCTGGCAGCATCTAAAGAAGTAATTATGGCTAAGCAGCTGCAGAGGAGATGCCATGCTCCACTGCAAAGCCAGATGTCATTTTTATTGCTCCTCAAAGTTTCAGATGAAAGGGCTTTGGGACAATGGGAATGGAATCATTTCAGGAGATGTGGAGAGGGAGCTCCTTTGCTCCAGGTGGAGCCTCTGTCAGGGGCATCAGCTGCAGCCAGCCCTGAGTGTGGGCCTAGGGAAAATCCACAGCCAGAGCTCCATGGCAGCAGCACCAGCACCAGCACCAGCACCAGCACCAGCACCAGCACCAGCACCAGGCAGAACTGAACCACTCAGGCTGGGACAAGAAAGGGTCACCTGGCACCACAGCCATGGCCTTGGCTTTTACCTGGGGAAGGACACTGAAAAATCCACCTCTGAAACTATCAGTATCAAAACCCCACAAACCCCATCAGAGCCAAATCCAAAGCCTGCTGAACTGAACAGGGATCTTTCCAGGAACTTCAATTGGATTTAACTGATGAGAGAAGATTTTGTGACACCTGCTATGGACTTTCAATCTCCAAAATTTCTATGGTACCTCTCCTCTTGGTCCCTACCCTGGCTAAAGTGATGTGGGAGCAGTGTGCAATCCTTTAAGGTAAAAATTTCAGAAATATGAAAATCAGGACTCTGCTCTGCTAATTCAGAGAAAGCCTATGTTCATCCTCTCTTCAATTAGCAGAGATCGTTGTGCCTGTAAAGAACTTATATTTTTTCCTTATTTTAAATATAAATGCCCAGCACAATTTTTCTAATCCATTCCTTTACCTACATTAATTCTCCTCCTAGAACTTGTACAAGACACTGTAATTTCAAGCAGAAGCTTCTTAATAACACAAATCATCTATCCCTGTTGGAATATAAGCGGATCCATGACCTTAGAACTATTTTGCAAGAAATCCAGCTAGAAAACTAATTTTAAGTAAATCTACAGATGTCAAAAACCCAGATGGCTTTTCAGGATGCTAACTTAAGCTTCATTGCATAAGCAGATTAGGGCTGCCTGTTGAGCCCCACACAGGAGTAGATGGCACTGAATCCATGGAATTACACCCAAACTTCACTTCCTGATGCATCTTCCATCGAAAACTTTTGTCAGCTCCCCACACCAGGAGCCTGCTCACTGTGAGCACCACACCCAGGGTGGCAGCTCTGCGTTCTCCCTCCATCTCTCTGTCTGTCTGTCCCTCTACCCCTGTGTCCCTGTGTCCCTCTATCCCTGTATCCCTCTGTCCCTGTACTCCTGTGTTCTTGTATCCCTGTATCCTTCTGTCCCTCAATCCCTCTGTCCCTCTGTCCCTCAATGCCTCTATCCCTCTGTCCCTCAATGCCTCTATCCCTCTGTTCCAAGGCCACTGGCCAAAGCAGCAGCTGGCTACACTGATGGATGGGACAGTTGTTCCATCCTTCACGCTCCTCAAATGAAAATGGAGGCAAAGAGCCTCATGAACCTCTCAAAGGTTTTGGCACAGCAGATGTGGAATGACTTTGTGGTACAGCCTCACGGGATCCAGATTAGGCCGCTGTTACCATGGGTAACCAGCTGTACCTGGCTATCAGCTGAAGTTAATGAGCCCTTGAGCTCTCCAGCCCAGGGCAGGGGCAGCGTGGCTCCGGGGTGGCTGCGGGGAGCAGGGCACACCACGCTGCTCCTGGAGAGGACACCCGCCTTTCCACGGCCGTGTTGTGTAACAAGGCCCAGCCCCTGCCCCTCTCTGCTCCGAGCCCTCATTCCAGAGCGCAGCAGCTGAAATGCGGCCAGAGGGATGGAATTGTGTTTTCCCCTCCCTGTGTGGAAGCGTGTCAGGGCTGCTGACAGATGGCTCGGCTGCCTGTGCCTGATGATTATCAAGCCTCTATTACCTTTGCAAAGTGAATCCCGGTCAAAGGTTTTCTGTAATGAATTTCGCAGTATTTGCACACTCGCTTTGTGTCCCACACGTCCCGGGAAGCGTGCGAGGCACTCGGGCGCTGATTTACAGTGCCAGAGGCGCCGCGTCCTCCGGGCACGGGCACGGCGCTTTCGGCAGTCTGTGCTGCCACCTAGCCAGGCCCGGCCCGCCGAGCTGAGCCCCGCTCCACCTGCCCAGCCCGCACGGGAAGGTGTCCCCCGGATCCGAGCCCAGCCCGAGCCTGGGCACGGCGCTGCCCGGCTGCGGGAACGCTCGCTCAGTGAACGGCACGGAGCAGCCCGAGCTCGGCGCTGCTCTCCCCCTCCCCGTGCGGCCGGTACTTACGGTAGAAGACATATTCGGTGTAGCTGGACCAGACCTTGTCGTCTGTGTACTGGTTGACGAAGGAAGCCGTCACCGAGGAGTTACAGGCCACCATGTGGAATCCACACTCGGACAACATGTCAAAAGCCCTCTCCAGGTGCTTGAACTTGAGATAAAACCTGGAGGTGTACCTTTCTGGAGCCCTGTCCGGGTCTCTGCTTTCATTCAAACTTTCTCCAAAAACCTCTTTGACCAAAGAAATCCTTCCACAAACCAAAATCCTTGGGACCCTCCTGAATTTGGCATCTGCTTGGCTCTCCCGGCCAATGGTGCACGAGCCACGGTAGCCGATGGTGATGAATCCCCACTTGCGGTCGGGCGGCAGGAGCGACGAGGGGGGGCAGATTCTGGTGTCACTGCCCTGGGACACCTCTTCGTAGTCGCTGTGGCAATAATCATCAGGGCTTTGCTTGCTGTCATCAGGAGTCAGGAGCTTGACCAAGTCCGGGAGCTGGAAGTACTCAGCCTCCCTCCTGAGCCTTCCCTTCTCTGGGAAGTGGTCGGGCAGAACCACTTGCTTGTCCCTGAGATAGTCCAGAATATAGCGGAACAGGAAACCATCTCTGTCGATGAAGAATCTTCCCTTGGAGTCCTTGGCCAGATCGTTGGCTGTGTCTCTCTTTGGGGTGAACATTTTCCAGAGCAGGGAGTGAGGGGTGCCAACCAAGGTGGAGTGGCGAGTGAAGTAAACCTGGCCGCCCACGTTGAGCTCCACCACCTCGGGGAAGGAGTGCAGCCCCGGCCCCTGCTCCCGGGCAGGAAGGTAAGTCCTGCAGTTGCCACTTAGAGCCATTGTAGTTTAAACTGAAATCAGCAGCACGGAGAAGCAGGACTATCAATCACATCAGAGGGTAGAATAAAGCTCCCAACGTTAAGAAGAAACAAGGGGGAAACAAGAATTGAGAAAATAAAAATAGCCAATAGGACTGTTTAAATGAAAAATCTGAATTGTCCATGAGTGACAGTGTGGCAGAAGTGGTTTATACACTGAGCCACGGAGGCTGGAGGCTGGAGAGCAATCACCTCATGACATGCAATCACATCATCAGATCTTCCAACAAAGCCATCAAAATCAAGGTCAAGCCAAGCCTATGGTCATTCACAGGTCTGTGAAAAGGGAAAACAAAACAAGGCACAAATTACTCTTTAAGCATCACAGCTGCTGCAACAGAGAAAAGCAGAACAGTTTGTAGAGCCAGGCTAAATCTGCTAAATAGGTCTCTTTATTTTGGCAAGTTCTATGCTTCTATTTCACAAGTATTCATCAATGGAAGGGCTACATATGACTCCACTATTTAAAAGAAACTGCAGACTTCATCTTTAAAGAAACATCTAAATCAGACATGCACATGAGGGAACAAGAACGGGGAGTCTTACCTTGGTAACAATTAATGCATAGGTCTTGTAAAGAAAACCAAAATGTCAAGACACTCAGAACACACATACAGGCACACAGGGTCCGGGTAGTGTGAATCCGATCCCAACAAGGGACAGCAAAGGCAAGAGAAGTGCTCTTAGCAGCATCCACGGAGGTCTCAAGTGTTAAACCGAGTCACAGGGAAGTTAACCGTGGCGGGTGACGAGGAAACCAGTACATACAGCACGGTGGAAGAAAATAAATAAATAAATAAACAAACAAACAAATAAATAAAATAATTCCCGAGTGGATGCGCTGGGCTGGGGGAGCGGGAGGGCAGCGGGGGCCGGCCCCGATGACTTGCAGAAAGCCCGCAGCCTGCGCTAGGCACTGCCGGGCTCCGGCGGCTCCCGCGGCGGCAGCGCGGCCGGCGGCTCCCCCATGGCCCGCCGGGACCGCGGGCACCGCGGGGCCGCCCCGCGCCGGCTCCGCTCCGCCCCGCTGCGCGCTCCGGGCTCCGCTCAGCGGCGCGGGGCCGGCAGCGCGGAGGGCGATGCCGATTGCATCATCTTAAAGGAGTCGGGCCGGGATGGGCGCCGCGTCCCGCGCCGGCACCGGGCAGCGCCGCGAGCGGGCAGCGCCGGGCACGGGCACAGGCACAGGCGGGCAGCGCCGGGCACGGCAGGGCGCGCACAGCCCGGCCAGCACCGCGGACAGCGGCAGCACCGCGGACAGCGGCAGCACCGCGGACAGCGGCAGCGGCAGCACCGCGGACAGCGCCGGTCCCCGCCGGGCCGGGCCGGGCCGGCAGCGCTGCCGCCCGCCGCTCACCGCTCGAGCTCCGGTGCAGTCCCTCCCGCTCCGTCCCCTCGGCCGGCAGCGCCCGACCCCTGCCCGCCCCCAACGTGCCTGTCCCGGCTCCGCGGGGGCTCCCGGTGCGCGGCCGCGGCTGCCGCGCAGGAGCGGGACTCGCTCCCGCTGCCGCCGCTCCTCATCTCCCGGAGCCGGCAGGGAGGGGACCGGCCGCGGGGCGCGGGAGGGAGGAGGAGGGACCGGGGGCGGCTCCGGCGGTGCGGAGGACCCGCTGTACTTGTGGGTCTCTCACGGGGAGAGCCGCGGACGCGCCGGCACCGCCACCTCGTGTCCGTCCCCGCTGCTCGGCCCGGGCGCTGCGGGCACCGAGAGAGGAGCCGGCAGCCCGGTGCAGCCGAAACCCAGCGGAGGCGCGGGAGCGGCTCCCCGGGCACCCCACACTGCCGGGCACCCGCGGGAACGGGGCAGCACAGCCCCGTGACAGCTCACACCACTCTTCTCGGAATGATAACACTCACACCGCTCTTCTCGGAATGATAACACATGAGAAAAGAAAGCCTTTTACTCAAAGGTGGCTAAAAGCTTTAGAGTGAAGTCTCTGTGTGATGGAGTCACCATGCAGGGGTAGATTTTGCTGACTGCACTTAAGTTCACAGATTCACGGAATATTTTGAGTTGGAAGAGTCAAGGATCATGGAGTCCAGCTCTTAAGTTAATCCACACGGGGATTGAATCCACAACCTTGGTGTATTAGCACCAGCTGAGGCTGCAAATAAACATGGCCATAATTTAAAAACATGGCCGTAATTTAAAAGAAAATAGCCAAAAGAATAATTTTCAAGGCTAAGACAGAAAATCATTACTTGTGTACCTACAGACTTTTCAAATTAAATCTGAAAGCTGAACAGTTAATCAATTAACTGTTGATTTTTACCTTAATTCATTAATTCTGAAGCAACTGCTGCACTCCTGAACAAAATCTGTCTCTCATTTCAGGATCTTTATTTTCAAACCAGCAGAATCTGGTGCCACTACAGGGTGTGCCGGCTGTGCCTCAGAAAAGCCCAAGTCCTGTGTCCTGCCCTCGTGGCTCTGCAGAGCAGCTGAAGCAGTGCAGGTCAAGGGCTCCATAACCCCTGCACAGAGGATTTAAAGGTGGGATGTGAGATCATGTTCACTTAAATGTCTTCATTACTTTTTTAAGAGCCTGGTGCAGTCGGTGCAGACAGGATTTAACACCTGCATGACCAGCCACGGGGATCGACAGCTGCCTCTGGGAGTGCCAGTGCTGTCCCTGTTCAGAGCAGGAAGAATTGCATCAGCTTTTGCAAACATGTCAGTTGTCTGTGCTAGTTCATATGCTGCAATCTAATTAAAATCCATTTTCATCCTGGCAGGGCTTGAAGAATCCATCCCCAGTAAGAGCTGGCGGTGCTCAAAGCAGCACGGAAGCGTTTGTGATGTCCCCGTGACAAGAAGCCAAGGCCCGAGGCTGGGGTGGAGCTCAGCCCGCGCTGCCCGGGGCCAGGACAGCACAGCGAGTGGGATGTGCAGGGGCTCCGTGAGCAGGGACAGGAGCTACCCACACCTGGGACTCCTGACAAGCTCGAACGAGCAGCAGGCATGGACTCCCTGTGATTAGCCAGTAGAGACAGCTCTAAGCTCGGAGTCTTTCTGAAACATTATCATCAGAATTGCCCTTTGAAAAGAACAAAACCCATAGAATTTTAATCACAACAGCTTTAGAAATGCAACTGCACTTTTCAAATAGTAATGAAAGCAATTCAGCACCTGCTTTTATTTCTTCACATGGGACGTTCCAATCATTTCACTGTAACACAATTTCCTTTGATGAAATGACTTCAGGAGTAAAAGCATCACGTAATGCTCCCCAGCTAAACACAAGCCATGGGCCAAATCCATCAAAATGCAGCTTGACAGAGTGAAACTTTAAAATCTGGGCCAAATACACGGTGACCTAAATGTAAAATATGTGTCAGGACCACACCAAGGAGCAACTACAGTTCTGATGGAAGAGAAAAGCAGTAACCATCAAAGGGAGGAGGATGAAGCACTTCTCACTTCTGACAGATGCCTTCATAACCTTCAGCACAGGCAAGGGAAAATTTAGCCTGAGCTTAAAGTGTATGTTCCAAAAGCCCCAGCATAGCTGTGCTGGAAGCCAATCCATGAATGCTGTGACATCATTCACAGGTTTGAGGTCATTCCCTATGACAAAGTGCTAAATTGGCATTTCAGGAAATCATGGAACAAGTGACTTTATTGAATTTGGTGGGTGTTAGAAATAGGTGTCTGAAAAGCAGCAGCAATGAGTGCTAGAAAGGAAGGGCAGTGTTACCTGGGCTGGAGTAGCAGGGTGTGTGTGTGTGTATCACCTCCCATCTCCAGAGGAAACCTACAGGCTGGAAATTCCAATCAAGTCGCCCACACATAGTGAGAAACATGGAAGCTGTTTATCAGCAACAACACAAGAGCTTTGAGGTGCCTGGAGAAGGAGCAACTGAAAGAAGCAGAAACTGAAGTAGTAATTCTGAGGAAAAAATACATTCAAGTTGGATTTTGGATAGAAGATTCCACCTAAAAAGCCACATGAGAACTTTCATCGCTCTGTGTGGTCTTTACACACAATAGTTCAAGTAAAAAAGGAAGAAAGAAGAACAGCACTTCCAGTTCCAGGCTTGCACTTTGATTCAGGAACAACTTCAAGGTGCCACCTCAGGATCCTTCAGTCCTGTTCCCTGTAACATTCTGTGCTTCTCAGCAGGCTCATGTCTGAGTACTGAGCCCAGGCAATGTTTCCCAGGGCAGTGAGAAGAGGCCAGTTTCTGAGAGGGTGGCACGGCAGAGGAACAAGGAATGTCTGCCCTGGGCCTATCATGGGGCCAGTGAGGCAGAAACCGTGTCCTGCACCGGTGCTCCCAGGCAGGACTGCCAATCCAGCCTCAACCACGGCAAAGAACAGAGCCTGGGAGGAACCAGTCCCCGACTCCTGCGAGTTCCAGCCCCCTAACCCAGACACCCCTCCAGCAGGGGCGGATCCTTCCCATCAGCCAGCTCCAGAGCTCCCTGCAAGGCAAGCCAGGCAAGAACAAGTGATACCGAGCTAAATCAGAGATTATCCCCTGATCCAGCAGTGTGAATTACACACAGTGAAATTCTCATCTGCTCAAATCCAGCAGTACGTGCGAACGGGAAGCCCTAACAAATCTTTCCCTTTGAAGAAAAAGCATAAAGCAACACTAAATGGCTGAGTGTCCCTGAGAAAGGATCTTCCAGCAAAGAGCGTGAGTGCCATGCAGGCGGGTTTATTCACAGAGTAAAGCATTACACAGATTTGCCCTTGATCTTTTATTCATAACACAAGTGCAGAACGTATTTCCATCCCAAACAAGCAAAGGGGAAGAGCAGCTTTCCCAGCTGCTCAGGATGAGAGCAAGGCTCAAATGGAGACACGACATCGCTCTCTGCCATGGTGTATCACACAGAGAGGGATCACAGCTCCTGCCCAGAGACCCTTTACTCCTTCTGGCAAACACCAGACCCCCAGCACACGCACAGCACAAGGTCTGAGCCTTCCAGAAGGTGACAGTATGAGGGAATCATGTTCCAGTGAGCTCCATATCAATCACTGCACATCGGGGAACATTCTGGAGAATAATTGATAGATGTGTGCTGACAACTCCTCTGGAATTCCATGGCCACTCTTCAACAAAGCAATCTGCTACACAAACAGCCCTGACCCTGCAAGAGAGCTGGCACAGGCAGGGACCTCATGGAGACATCAGCAACCAAGGATTAAAATCAAACAAAAATTGCTGTTTTCTGTCTCCCCTCTGCAAGATGCTTCCTTCC